CGCCTTCCTCGCCGCCGCCCTGCTCCTGCCCTTGCTTGCCGCAGCCGACTATGTGCCGACAAACATCACCGAGACGCCCAACTTCCAGCTGCTGCCTGGCATCGCTTCGGTACCAGCACCCGTCACCGTCGCGCCGGACCAGAACTGGCTAGGAGTCGACGGCTCATGGAACACCTTTACTCTGCGCGTGGGCGAAACCGGGGAGAACGTGCGCGTCTTTGTGTCGACTGCAAGTCAGCAGATATGGGCCATCAATCGCATGGCCTGCATCACCAACACCACGAGCCCGGTGACAGGAGAGATTACAGCATACAACGTCTTCGACTCGGATTGTGAAACCAGCCGCGGCTTCCTGTTCAACAGCAGCAACTCAGACACATGGCAGCAAAAGGGCTTCTACCAACTGTGGATCGAGAAATATCTCGGGCTGGTCGGCAATGGATTGTACGGCTTCGATTCGGTGGGTCTGGGGAGGGCCGGCGAGATGGGGCCCTCAGTTCAGAACACCACGATCGGCACCTTGGTCACCGCCAACTTCTGGCTTGGGCATATAGGCGTGCATTCCAAGTCGACCAACTTCTCCGTCTTCGATGAATCTGTTCCGAGCTACCTAACCACGCTGTTCGACCAGAAGAGCATCCCCAGTTTGTCTTTTGGCTACACGGCAGGCGCCCAGTACCGTAAGACATTACCACGCACCCTCGCTGCAAATCACTGACTCGGACGCACAGGTGACCAGACAGTCCTCGGAAGTCTCACGCTTGGCGGCTACGATGCCTCCCGCCTCATTCCCAACGACCTCACCTTCATCTTCGCCCCGGATAATGAGCGCGACCTGGCGGTTGGTGTCGTCGGCATCACGGCAGATACCACGTCGAAAGGAGATATCGACCTCCTCATGAACCGGGACGACGTGACCATGTACATCGATTCGACGGTTGCAGAACTCTACCTGCCGGTTGAGATATGCCAAGCTTTTGAGGATGCATTTGGACTAAAGTACGATGAAAAGACTGATCTCTACCTTGTGGATGATGCCCTTCACCGGGATCTCGTCGCGCAAAACCCCAGTGTAACGTTCACTCTCGGCCAGAAGTACAGCACGGATTCCACTTTGCAGATTACGTTGCCTTATGCTGCTCTAGACTTGGAGGCGACTCCTCCGTATAGAGGGTTGCAAGAGAAGACAAGGTACTTTCCTATCAGACGAGGTGCGGAGGCGCGTCAGTGGGTACTGGGTAGAGTCTTCCTGCAGGAAGCCTACTTGACCGTAGACTGGGAACGTCAGAACTTCACCGTGTCAGCGGTGGACTGGACATTTGGCAAAGCTCCACAAATCATGCCTATCGTGTCGCCCACCTACGCGGTCCCGCATTATGATCCCCCAAAGAAAAAGCCTTTGTCTTCAGGGGCAGTCATTGGTATCGCAGTGGGAGGTGGCTTCGTCGTTGCTCTAATTCTGTGCGCAATTGGGTGGTGGTTCTGGCGGCGGCGGCACAAGCGCAAGCTGGCAGAAATCAAAGCGCAATACGAGGCCGATGTCGCAGCGGCGGCGGTCACCAAGATGGATCCACCCGTGTCAGAGGAGGCTCCGACGTCTCCAGTACGAAGTAGTACAGAAGGCGTGACTGTCTTCGCGAAGGCCGAGCTACCTGGCTCATCCCATGTGCATCACGAGATGAGCTCCAGCGCAGAAGAGAAGGGATCATCAGCCGTGCATGAGGCAGATGGCGAGGAGCGTCAGATCTATGAGATGCCTGGAGACATGCCTGTGCTTCCCGAGGCAGGCGGCCGTCAACTGTCGGAAAAGGAGTCCATGGTGGTACGCGAGAGGATATACAACGGCATAGATCCGACCGGCACGCCAGATGCAACCCCAGCTGCGTACGAAGAGTCGCGCAGGCTCGCACCAATATCCCCGTCCGAAGTGTCGATAGTGAGCGGTCGGCTTCCAACCGACAACGTGTCGCCCATTACACCACGCACACCAAGAGACGGTGCTTTCTTGGAAGCCTCGGACACATTTTTCCAACTGCCGCCCTACCGTGCTCGCGAAGAACGACGCGCCGAATCGGATGGCGATCCCCTTTCCCCCGTCTCGCCGTTGGAAGGGTCTACGGATGCCTCCCGACGGCGGTTCTCTTACGAGTCATGAGGCCAAAAAGCTGCTTGTTCAGCGACGTTACGACTGGCGTTTATTTTGTTTGGCATAAGTGGCGGGGTTATCTTGGCACCACGGATATGGCGTTTGAGAGGGAATAGTTCGATTTGTGCATACCAGAGGCTGAATACCCATCTAGACGGCGGCACGTGGTAGAAACAAGCAGCCACGTTTTGTTAGTGTATATAGTGTAAATACACGCTTTTCGCGCACATGGCGGCGGACCCTGAGGGGACCATAGCATGATAGATTTGTACAGGTGCATGACAGCCAAGTCGGAGCGCTAGGCTCATGCGTTCATGCTGTCGGGCTGGCCGTCGGCTGGCTAAACGGTCGCGGGCCTGCAACGGGCAATTGTCCTGATTGTAGGGCAGAGCCAGCGGCGCGGGCGAAGCGGTCTGAGGAAGGTGCCTTGGGCAGCGCCTTGCCGCAAGCAGCCAAGTTGAACCCCTCGTCCGCGCAGCGACTGGATACCAACCCCACCATATCCTCACGGAGGCCGCGACGAGGCACAGGACGACCGCTTTTCTGCTGAAGCCAGTCTGTCCATCGCTTTCCTATTGCTGGCGACTTCCCGGTGAAGACTCTGCGCCTGCCTCGACTGTCCCACCACCCGCCCCGTGCCAGAGCCGCCGCCCCGCTTTGTGTCGAAGCAGCTCCTGTCAGTCATCACATTGGCCGCGCGCCTAGCCTTATATCATATCGTGCGCTTGCCGCCCGCACTTCTTCTCCACAGTCCACATTGTCCGACTTCTGCGCCTTCGATCGTTACCTTCTTCAATTTCTCTCCTGAAGATAGACAGAGCCTTACCCCGCCGCAGCTGCCACCATGGGCGACCTCGCCAACCGCAAAGTGTTCAAGGTAACGTTATATCCGCCATTCAGGGCCGAGCACGCGTACTGACAGCTTGCAGGTGTTCAACCAGGAGTTCATCGTCGACGAGCGCTACAATGTAACCAAGGAGCTGGGACAGGGTGCCTACGGCATTGTCTGGTACGACTCGAGCCACGGCGCGCCGCATAACAAGTGCTGATTCTGCCCCCAGTGCGGCTACCAACAACCAGACGGGCGAGGGCGTGGCCATCAAGAAGGTCACCAACGTCTTCAGCAAGAAGATCCTTGCCAAGCGTGCCCTGCGCGAGATCAAGCTGCTCCAGCACTTTAGAGGTAAGTTGACATGCCACCTGCCGGCTGCGACACTACTAACACCTGCCAGGCCACCGTAACGTAAGACACACATGCTCCCGAGTGCCCCGATCGACCCCATGCTAAACCCGTCGCACAGATAACATGTCTCTACGACATGGACATTCCCCGCCCAGACAACTTCAACGAGTGCTACCTATACGAGGGTATGAATTACATCCCATGTCTGATAAGACGGTACTGATAGGCGTGTAGAGCTCATGGAGTGCGACCTGGCAGCCATTATCCGGTCCGGCCAGCCGCTCACCGATGCCCACTTCCAGTCCTTCATCTACCAGATCCTATGCGGTCTCAAGTACATTCACTCGGCCAATGTCCTCCATCGCGATCTCAAGCCCGGTAACCTGCTCGTCAACGCCGACTGCGAGCTCAAGATTTGCGACTTTGGTCTTGCAAGGGGTTTCTCCATGGACCCTGAGGAGAACGCAGGATACATGACCGAATATGTCGCTACCCGATGGTACAGAGCCCCTGAGATCATGTTGAGCTTCCAGAGCTATACAAAGGCTAGTAAGTAGTCACTCCCTCGTGATGGCGTTTGTCGTTGGCGTACAGAGTCAGTGTCTGTGCCCATCGACGATACCGCTTAGACATTTCACATGCCGAGCTCAAGCTGACTCTGCGTAGTCGATGTGTGGTCAGTGGGCTGCATCCTTGCTGAGCTGCTTGGCGGTAAGCCCTTCTTCAAGGGCCGCGACTACGTCGATCAATTGAACCAGATCCTGCACTACCTTGGAACACCAAACGAGGAGACACTCTCCCGCATCGGCTCTCCCCGTGCGCAAGATTACGTTCGCAATCTACCCTACATGCAGAAGATCTCGTTCCAGTCCCTGTTCAGGAACGCCAACCCAGACGCACTTGACCTGCTCGACCGCATGCTCGCCTTTGATCCCTCAAGCCGTATTTCAGTCGAGGAGGCCCTGGAACACAGGTACCTACAAATTTGGCACGATGCGTCCGACGAGCCTTCATGCCCAACAACATTCGACTTCCAGTTCGAGGTAGTCGAGGAGATCCCGGAGATGAAGAAGATGATCCTGGATGAGGTCAGTCGCTTCCGCCAGATGGTGCGCGTACAACCCGGTGCAGGCGCTGGGGGGAACCAGGCACCGCAAGTCCCGATACCCAACAACTACGACCGCGCTGGCTACGAAGACCCAAGGCCGCAAGAAGCGTTCAACCAAGGTGGATGGAACGGAAGCGATCTGGAGCGTGATCTTCAGGGTCTTGACGGCCGCATGCGATAAGTGGGGTTGGACGAATCTGTTGGTTGCAACATGTCTTCTCGTTAGTGTTTGAGCGTGAGCGTGGAGGGATTTGGGTAATATTTGAGCCCCATGTAATTTCTCTCAAAATCTTTTGAATGATAACTATGCGCGATTGACTTTGTGACGATGTGAATACACAAGCAACGATGGTATAGCATTGCTTAGGGGTTGCTGACATCCGCAATAATTATTACACGGTACAGATATCAGGAAGACCATTCAGACCCCTATCAGCTCTGGTATACTCGTCATTTATGATACATCGTCGCCACCAGATCGGTTCCCATATGCTATGTCTTCGTTGAGCTCACTGCTACACGAGTTGCCGGCAGGTCTACCTTGTTCCTGGGTGATTGGCAATTCACCCCTTCATAGAGATAGCATCCAGCACATCCCCCTCCAAGCACTCCAACAACCCAGGCGCCTCACCCCCATACCCCCACTTCTCACCCGCCCTCTCAGCCCTCGTACGCGAATTACTCGCGAACAAATACCGCGCCAGCTTGGGAAACCCAGGATAATTAGCCATGCCATCCAATTCCTCCAACCCGATCTGCACTGGTTCCGCATCCCCAATCACACCATGCTTGTGCAGAATGCTCCCGACCGCTTTCGCAACATCGATCTGAGAATGCTCTTGCGTGCTCGCAAAGTAGTATCCGTTTTCGTTGAAGAAATCGGCATTGGAGTCGTCGTCGTCGTCGTCGGAGGTGGAGGTTGACACTGCAGCTTCCACGACATGCAAATACAGACGCATGAGGTCGTTGATATGCACCCAACTCCTTGTATTGGCACCTTGGTTATAGTAAAACGGTTTCCCACTTTCAATCCCCTTCGCTGCGTGGACGAAGAAAGGGATAAGCGCACTGTGCGTTTTCACCAACCCCTTGCCTTTGCCGTAGATATCGGGCGGGCACATGATAGCTATCTTGATCCTATCCCCATGTTTTGCGACGGTGTCGTGTAAAATGGTTTCGGTGTTGCGGTGCAGCGCCGTTGGAGGCAAAGACCGGATTTCGGCCAAAGAAGTCTTGTCGGACCATATCTTTGGGTTTAGCAAACCCAGGTACGATGGGGAGGCCCAGTCTGACACTATCCCTGTGCCGGAGAGGTGGAGTAGGTAGCCTGGGGTAGGCCGCTGGAGGAGACCAGAGATGATGGCGTTTAGACTGGGTTCGTGGTCCGAGTCCCCGTTATGCACGACGATGTCGGCGGAGGCGGCGGCGGAGGTGATCAGGGAGGTGCTGGAGTAGTCGCCGGTTAGGATGGTGATGTTGGGGTAGGTGGATTGGAAGGTCTCAGGGGTCCGGCGGAGGAGCACGGTGATGGTGTATTCGGGGTGGGTGGTGTAGAGGGTGTGGAGGACGGAGCCGCCGATGTAGCCTGTGCCTCCTGTGCTGGGGGCGGGTTAGTCGTGCGCATGTTGAAGAAGGGTGGGGTGGGGTGGGTGTGGATGTGTACAGGAAGATCTTTGGTGCCATGATGGGTCTTTGCTTGATTGATGGTATGGGTCTGGGTTGGAGATTGATGGTGAGATGTACTCTGTTGTTTTTAGGATCTCGAGGATCACTTTAAAGGTATATATAAGTCGGCTACTCCAATTTGATTGGTAATACAATTCCACTGACACAGTAACTCAGCTTTGCGAAATCGTAGCTACAATCGTCATGTAACCAAATTCTTTCGTCCGTGATCTAGAGGTTTTGTTTTTTCGACTCTTTTGTCCGGAGTGCAGAAACTCGGGACAACATTCAGGCCGTGTGGCTAGTGCTAGGGATGGTGTACACGCTATTTACATGCGACCGGCTAAGGACTCTGTCAATGCGAAAGTTCGTCCGTAGATGCTCAGCGTAGGTTTGTTTCATCCATGGTACCTTTGTTTGAATATTTGGATGCTGAGATGTGGGAGTTTTCTGATGATTGCAGATGAGCAGGTTGTGGGTCGTACGTCGCGGGAACGTAGGTGGTCCAGATGACACTCCATTACGATAGACGCAGACCTGGAAACTGAGCAATGGTGCAAGTTGTGACCGTTCGGTAGACTCTTCCTTTCATCTGTTCGTGGGCTACCTGCATGGTGTTCTCTACATCGCGGCGATGCTGCAACCCGCTGAACTGGCCCGTGCACCAGGCCAGGGTCTCTAGCGCGATAATTATTTCTCGGTCTTAGAACTTTTGGCAAGCCGCTGCGCTTCAAGTCGAACTTTTCGCGCCATTGCACAGCACCCCCAAACGCACTACACACCATGTCGCCCGCCGCGATCGAGTCGGGAAACAAGAGGAAGAGGTCTCACAAGAGCAAAAAGAGCGCCGAGCCAGCCATCGCACCAGCGCATGATGGCGTAGACGCTATCAAGGCGCGCAAGAAGGCGCGCAAGGACAAGGCACCTGTCGTCGAAGAGCCTGTGGTGGAGGATGTTTCTGAGGAGGAACATAGTGATGAGGAAGAAGAAGCGGCAGCAGAGGATGTCGTCGCAGAAGTCAGTGCTGCAGACGACGACAGCGACAAGGAAGACGATGAAGGCGACAATGACGAGCTTGCCGAACTACCCTCTGGAACGGGCAGCAATGCCGTTGATCTCCCCTCAGGCACCTCGATGCCCTCAGCGAACCCGACGCGATTCGACGAGCTCAACCTGAGCGAACGAACGATGACCTCTATCAAGAACATGGGCTTCGAGAACATGACAGAGATCCAACAGAAGGCTATACCACCTCTGCTATCAGGAAGGGATGTGCTTGGAGCGGCAAAGACTGGCAGTGGAAAAACACTGGCTTTCCTCATCCCCGCCATCGAGATGCTCTCACAGCTGCGGTTCAAGCCGCGCAACGGAACTGGAGTTATTGTCGTATCGCCGACCAGAGAATTGGCGTTGCAGATCTTCGGTGTAGCGCGCGAGCTCATGGAGCCACATAGCCAGACGTTTGGTATCTGCATCGGTGGTGCCAACCGAAATGCAGAAGCCGAGAAGATCAGGAAGGGCTTGAACCTGATCATCGCTACTCCCGGGCGCCTCCTCGACCATCTACACAACACGCAGGGCTTCGTCTTCAAGAACTTGAGGTCGCTCATCATCGACGAGGCAGACAGAATTCTCGAAGTCGGTTTCGAAGACGAGATGAGGTCCATCATCAAGATCCTGCCTACGGAGCGTCAGACGATGCTTTTCTCCGCAACACAGACCACCAAGGTTGAGGATCTCGCAAGGATATCGCTCAAGGCCGGCCCCCTCTATATCAACGTCGATCACCGTGCCGAGCATAGCACGGTCCAGGGATTGGAGCAGGGTTACGTTCTGTGCGATTCAGACACCAGATTCAGGCTTCTGTTTTCATTCCTCAAGAAACACCAGAAGAAGAAGGTCATTGTCTTCTTGTCATCGTGCGCATCTGTCGACTTCTACAGCGAACTGCTCAACTACATCGATCTGCCTGTGCTTGGACTGCACGGCAAACTCAAACAACAGGCGCGAACGAACCGCTTCTTCGAGTTTGTGAATGCACAGAGCGGCACACTCATCTGCACCGACGTTGCTGCGCGAGGACTAGATATTCCTGAGGTGGATTGGGTTATTCAGTTCGACCCACCTGATGACCCACGAGGTAAGCTTGAACGCACGCAATGCATGAGCATATACTGACTTGTCTACAGACTACATCCACAGAGTCGGTCGAACAGCCCGAGGTGCAAATGGCAAGGGCAGGAGTTTGATGTTCCTCTTGCCATCGGAAGTAGGATTCCTCAAGCTGCTCAAAGAAAATCGCGTGCCGCTGGTTGAGTTTGAGTTGCCTTCCAACAAGATTCTCAACATCCAGTCACAACTGGAGGCACTTATCAGCAAGAACTACTACCTCAATAAGAGCGCAAAGGATGGCTACCGGTCGTACCTCCAGTCGTACGCTTCACATAGCTTGCGGTCGGTGTTCGACGTGCACAAGTTGGATCTCGTCAAGGTGGCCAAATCGTTCGGTTTCTCGACACCACCGCGCATCGACATCAGTCTTGGGGCGAGTCTCAGTCGCGACAAGAAGGTGGAGGGAAGGAGAGCATATGGAAGCCAGCCTGCGCAGGGCCGACGACCGATGAGGGGAGGCAAGAGGTTCTGAGGTGGTAGTCGAGAGGCATTGATGGGAGTTTGGCGTACAAAATCACATACGGGCCATGATCTAGGGTTTTACAGCTGTGCATGATCTAATTGAGCACCCGTGGGGATGTCAGTAACTTGAGAAGCGAAATGTGTCAATTTGATGTGGAGCTTGAACTTCGAACAACTCTGTCCCTGACATGTATGACGTACTTGGTAGCTTAAATCTAACTGTAAGCAAAACGAATGTCTTGAAGACTGCCCGTCCAGCGCCACCAAACCGGTGAGAGCTAGCAAGATTTGGGCGGCAAGCAACCACTTCGGCCACAGAATCGCAACATTGCTGCGGCCGCGTCAACTTGCCAGTTCACCAAGTCTGCATCCTTCGGAATATTTATTCTCTAGCATGAGCCCACTTCTGGTATATTACTTGACGGAGTTGTGCCCGCAGCCAGCCCTACGAGTTTCCCAAAGCGCAGACGCCGCGGCCTGTATGGAGCCCTGGGGGATGCGCTGGCAAAGTCGCTCGCTGCTGGCGGGCCAATGACGTCGCGTAAATAGGAGCAGTGGGAGAGCGGATGCGGCCGCCCACGGGGGTTGCGGCACCATCACCCCTGGTAACGACACGGGTGCTAGAAGCTAGCTAGCTATGTAGTTAGCAGCGAGACGGCCGTCCATGACGGATGTTTGACAGTCTGGCGGTGAGCATTTCACGACGAAGTTGGTTGTGAAGCCCAAGAAAAAACATGGAAAATGGAAAACAAGAGCCTGACTTGGATTGTGGCATGGAGGCGCGGGAAGACGGGAGGGGTAAGAATAGAATAGGCGACGTGGTTGCTTTTGGTGCGACCAGCCATCTTTGTTACAGGCTTTGGTGGAGGGACGGTAGAGGCTGGCATTCGTCGCGCACTTTGCAGTGGGATGCATGGCCAACGGCGTCCACGAGGGACACCAGGCACGCTGTATGGTCTTGACGCGGCCGAGTGGCTGGGGACAGACAAGTCATGATGTATCGCCCGTAGCCCATCGTTGGTTGATACGACGCGACCTGTCGCAGGTGGTTCTATACACTCTGTGCCCTTTACATCATCTTTCACAACTTTATACCCATCGTACTATTGCACTAGGATAATTGTAATAATTGTAATAATCCTTCGCCCACCCACGCCATCCTCGATCTGCAAGGTCAACAAGCCTCACCTCCAGCCCGTGTTAGCGCCGACAAGGATTGCTGTTCTCCAGCCGTGACCCAGCCTTTCTCTCCACCACAGCTGGAGCTGGCGACCACAACAGGACCGCCTCTCCACCAGCGAAGAGCGCGACGGAGCTGCAGAGCCATTGCTACCTGCGATAGACGGGAGCTGTTGTGCTGCCTGGTCTGGTGAGTCCCGTGACATCTCACATTGCTGAGTAGGTGTCTGACGCTGGCTAGCCTGAACATCGGCGGCCATTGTCGCAGAGCGTCGCACGCCGCAGAGCTGTGCTGCACGCATTCGACCGCCAACTGGACCTCTCACGTCCCCGTTCACGTCCGTTCACGACCCCCGTCCCGTTCACGCCCGCTATCACGGCTCCTCTCGCACACGCGCCCTCGCTGTTCGCGCACCAGCAACATCCAGGTTGCGCAAACGTAAACAGCCACGGTGCGGCCCTGCACCCACACCATCGCCAACATCATTTCCCTCCCATAACGTCCTCGAGGAAAACGGCGCCGGACATGTCTTCCGTCACCCACCCCGCCTTCTAGAATCTTTCAGATTCTACGATGGTTTTAGATACAGAACGACCTCCTCTTCCGGCACCTACTGAACCCTCGACTCTCGATTCCGCAGACGAATCAACCTACCACATAGACGAAATCAACACCGACGTCTCCAACCGCACCGACAGAACCTCGTACTCCGTCCCCGACGACGGCACCCCCATCACCATCAACACCACCTCGCCCACCAAGCCCCGCGGCCAAGCGAGGCTCTCCCGCAAGTTCCCCTCGCAGACGTCGCTGCTCATTGAGTACTTCGAGTCCGGCAAGGACGAAGGCCAGGCCGGCTCGCGAGGCAGCGTGCGCGTCCGCGTCACCCCCTCGTCTCGCAAGAGCAGGCACTCGACCGCGAGCGACAACGTCCAGATCACCCAGACGTCCGCCAAGCGCAACTCCCACGCGCCCTCCTACTCCAAGCGCCTCTCGCTCGCGACGAGCAAGTCGTACTCCGAGCTCTACGACTCGCGCACCGTCGCCTACTCCGACCTCTCCAACATCTCCTCCCTGCCGCCCGTCGACATCGAGCTGCTGCCCAACCACAGCGACCTGTCTACCGACGGCGGCCGCTTCCTCCCCATGCCCTCGGACATATCGTCCATGCCCGCAGACAGCATGACTGGCCAAACAGAGATCCTCCCGCCCGCGCGGCGCCGGACCCGCAGCATGGAACGCGACGCTGTCACCGAGTCCATGGTATCAGAGGCCATCCAGGACACCCTCAAGGCACCCCGCCACCACCGCAGCAGAAGTCTCAGCAAAGACCGCATCACACAGCGCGTCATGGAGAAACTGGCGCAGCAGGCCGCAGAGGGCGGTGCTGCCCGATCAAAACACAGCTCTTCAAAGTCAAGAGACACGTCCAGACGGCGGGAAGACGAGCTTGCCTCGCCCCGCAAGTCGCACCGCAGACGGAGCAAGGACGTCGAGCAAGCGAGTGGCACGGAGTCCAGCTACCTCTCCTCAAACGCCGACCGTCGTTCGCACGTCTCTGGGACCTCCTCCATCAACAACCCCAAACTACTGGCCACAGTGGAGGACGCCATCAAGCGCCTCATCCTCCCCGAGCTGAATGCGCTGAAAGAAGAGAACCGCACCTCCAGGAACATGGACAAGTTCGACCGCGCGAACCGTGACAGCATAGCCACCTTCGAAACCGTCGAATCAGCCGGCTCTCGCGACCCATCCAGACGCCGTGTGTCCAAATCCTCGAGCGCACCCAAACTCCACAGCAACAAGCCCAAAGTTGTCCTCAACCGGGATGGCGACGATCCAGGGACGACACTGGCTGGCGGATCAAGTCGCAAGAGCGAGCGACGATCCAGCCGGGGCTCCATTTCAAGCTACGCTGATTCGACTACCCGTGAGGAGAAGGCGAAGTCCCATCGGAGACAGAGCAGTAGCAAAGACAGCACCATGTCTCAACGAGATGCTGCTCTAGTTGGACTCGCTGGAGCTGGCCTTACCACTGCCGCTCTCAAGCATCATACTTCACGGGAAGAGAAGGAGGAGGAACGCAAACAGCGCAAGCATCGTTCCTCCCGCAGCAGTCGATCCGCAAGCGTATCCGAAAGTGTGCACGAGGAGCCTCGTGTCAAGGAACGCGTCCCTCCCCTACCCTTCAACCACAGCGAGCTCATCGGAGGATCCGAGCTCACTCGCGACTCAATCCTATCCGCAGAGACCGAGACCAAGGAGAGACCGCAGTCGAGGTCATCCGTCAGCACTGGCATAACAGGCACGGGTGCTGAGACGCCTCTTCAACAAGTCCCTCGCGGATACATCTCGCCATCACCACGCACACCAACCCGCACACCTAATGCTCTGCAACAAACGCTCGGCACGTCCCATAGCAACAAATCTACCAACGAGGTCCGCACATCAACGCCGAAGAGTGACCGCAGCTGGACCTCACGCTCGAAAGAAGCCACCGACGCCAGCTTAAATGCAGCAGCTGCTGCCAAAGCCCGCGCAATCGAGCGATCCGGGCCCCAAGCTTCAGAATACGAGATCGAAAGCGACACGCAATCAAGACGTGGTGACACTGTCAGCCCAATACAGAGCGAGGCTAGCTATCGGGGAGATGCGCAAACCACGGGCTCACCACGAAGAATGCACTCTATCCGTAGTGGACCTTCGGTGTCTTCTCTCGGCCATCAATTCGAGCGAAGGGAGTCCAACCTCTCCATTGCATCACTCTCATCGACGACTAGCACCAAGGCGGCGGCACGCACCCGTAAGCGACCTCAGGGCGTTACTCTCGAAAGCAAGAGGTCTATCCTCAATGAGGATGCAACCACCAAGGACACCAAGCAATTCTTCGATCGCAACCACGAGAAGAATGACATGTACCGACGTGAACTTGAGGATAGCTCTGTGAACTACAACCGTATGACCATGTACACCGACGATAGCACAGGAGTGGAATACCTCGACCACGAGCAGAAGGTCGGTGATCTTCAGGACATTCGCAAGGTCGGCACAATTCCTGAATACGTCCACACACCACTGGCCGTGGAGTCTGCTGTCGCCTCCCTACATGACGAGCAGTCCACCCTCAGCGTTCGATCCTCTATGGCCACAAGCCCGCTCAAGAAGAGCACGCTGTCGCAGGTTCACACGAACCCAGCTTACGTCCAAACCGACGAAGTACCTGCCGGCCAGAGGTGGGCCGCCATTCGCGACAAGGCCGAAGCTCTGCAACAGGAACGACGTGCCGAGGAGCCTCCAAAGCAAAACATTGCTCGTGAGAACTCTCCTAGGCAAAGCATCGCGCAATCCGAGGCACAGTCTGAGGATGCCATGTCGATGGATGAACCGATACAGATGCATCACAGCGCCTACCCAGTTGGTGACAACGATATGATGCCTGAGATTGGCTACGGCATGGATGATGACTCGGATGTAACTACCAACCCATCGATCATCCAAGGGCCAATCGGAGGAGGCGACGGCTACCACGATCGTACCGACGAGCTGCTCAGCCGACAAGAAGAGCGAGAGCGTACTCCCACCTCTTTCAGCAAGGGTGCCCTCGGACTCGGAGCTGGAGCTGCTGCCATGGCCGCTGCTGCTGCTTACGAAAGAGAAGAGCAGCAGAGTCCGGCTTCGTTCGATCAACGACACCAGGCCACCGTAGAAGATGAATATGATCATCCCTATCCAGGTGAGCAACAATACGAGCAGTCAGGCTATGCGCAGAGTAACCGCACTCCTTTGTCAGGCCAAACCGGCTGGAAAGACGAGGGTTACCAGTCGGCTAACCAACGTGAAGCGTACACGCCACAAAACCGCAATCACTCAAAGATCTTTGATGATGACGGCTACGGTGATGAGTACAATGGCGCGGACCTTGGCAGCCCTGACATGTTTGCTGCTCGTGCCAAACATGACCGACATGTTAGTGGCAACTCACATGGCATGACTTCTCCTCTCTACGACGCAGCTACCGGCAAAGGCATGGACCGCATCGAATCGAAGGACATCGTGGCTCTCATGGATCACCTCACTGTTCGCGACGCCCAGCGCAATGCTCGCGACACCGAAATTCTCGTCACCCTTGTGCGAAGCGCCGCGGAGATGCGCAACCAGTTGGATGACCTGAGGCAGTTCATCAAGACCCAAGACACGATGATCATGAACACCACCGACAAGCGAGTCAACCTTGCGGAGCAACGCATTCTTGGCGGTCCCCGTCCTCAGCCTCAGACACCGCCTCGTATCAACCGTACCTCCTCAGACGATGATATCGAGACCAAGAAGAAGAACGTCTTTAGGCGCGCACTCAAGGGCCTCAGCTCTGGCAAGGGAGATGGCGATATCAAGCACATCGAGCAAATGCTCGTTCAGTTGCTTGGTGAGGTCGAGGGCCTGAAGCAAGTCAACCAGCTTTCGTTGGACCAGCAGGCGAGGACGAATAGTCTCAACTCGTATGAAGAACTCCGAGCAAGCGGTGATGCGGGTTACGAGCCAGAGGGCCGTGCCAACACTGCCTCTTCGCCAGACCAATCTGGCTACTTCTCCAACCCTTCGTCTTCCCGCCGCATCCAAGATCTTCACTCTGGATACGATGTTGTACCAACGAACCGTATTAGCACAGTACGGGAAGAGAGCGACGAGGAGTACGAGGAGCGTACCCGTACACCGGGCTACGAGAATACCGAGCGCATGACAACGCCAACCCAGGAAGCTTTCCCCGAAAAGCGTGCTTCGCTAGGAACTCCTCCACAAGCTTCAAGGGCAGCGCGGAACTCACAGAGCGATGACACTACCCCGAAGCGCAAGCACAAGTCTAACTCGTCGTCCATCTTTGGTATTCCCAAGATCTCGCGATGGTCAAAGACCACTACCTCCACCAACCCAGAGAGCCTGCCACGCAACAGCGGGTCTGGAGAGAGGCGACCCCACTCCATGCACTCCAGGTCTTCTTCCCAGGATGACTACTATGATGACGAAGAACCATATGAGCAGCATGCCGATGACAGACTTCGTTCCAACACATCCCTAGCAAGGGAAGAGCAGCGTTCGATCCGTTCTGCACGCTCTCCGTCGCCTCTTATCCCAGAGGACATCCAATACGAGATGGAAGACCCCAAGTACCAGGCGCATCGCAACTCGCTGAACCTGCAGCATCCCCAGCCGCGACCTGGGCCAACCGGTCGTCACCAGAACAATTTGGAGACGCAAGCGCAAATCTACAATCCTGTTCGCTCGAGCATAGGATCACCTGACTACGACCAATGGGGTAGCATGCCATCGCTGGCACGCAACCGTCTTTCAGGCATGTCGGCTCAACAGGGTGCTGGCAACCTGTCGCCAATCTCATCAGATGGCTACAGCCAACACTCTGCTTCTGAGCAGCAGGCCGGCCCCCCTCGGCCTCCCAAGATCGCGGATGACGGCCCGCTCGTCCCACCACCACAGCTGCTTGCTGGCTACGGCCAGACAAGGCAGATGTACAGCTCTCCGAATGAGTTCGGTAGCCAGGGTGCTTTGACACCGCTTGCACCCATTGCAGAGGTGCGTTACTCACTCGAGACTGACCGGGGCCATCGCGTAAGTTGAGCTCGCGCCTCAGAAAGACTGAGGACAATGCTAACATACGCAAAAAAGATGACGCCCACTCCCTCGCCTCGCCCGAGCAGCCAGTACCTCCGCTCCGAGGCTAGTATGAACAGCCCGCAGCGCAAGATCACGGGCCCCAGGCCCATGGGTAGCAGGAGCCCACAGCCTCAGAGCCCGCTACAGCATTCGGACACTGTTGTTCGCAGGAAGCCGATTCAGGGTGAGTTTTTGACTACTTGAGAGAAAGTTGAAGATTTTTTACTAACGAAACATGGACAGACGATGAAGAGTCTCTCGAGAGCTACCGCAGCAGTCTCGACTCGGAGATTTTCTAGGCGAACAATCTTCTCAAGCCTGGCATCGTACACGGCAGCAGAACAAGACAGACTGCTGTTGCTAGCTGGGTGGAGAGTAATGGGCAGAAGGGCGACGCTCGGTTTCTTTCCCATCACCACCAACAACAACGGCCGAGGAGTGTCAAGAGTTTGCAACGACATAGGTCTCCGCTTAGGCATGTGACGTTTGCTGAAGAGTAGGAGGAAAGAGCAGAGCAGAGCAGCAGTAGTAATAATGGGGGGGATGTGCACAAAAACGTTTCCTTGGTTGTATGGGCTTCATTCGCTTCCGCGCATATATCACTTTTGCGAGCATGGCGTTTTTTTTTCTACATAGCGGTCTCTTCTTTCGCCAACCAACAACGCGGTTTCTGGCTATATCATGAAGTTTTGAAGGGAGTCTTGAGTGGCGAATCGATTCATTCATGAGGGACGAACTTCATGGCTTTATGAGAGATGAGAGATGATGAGGCGTAGTTAGGTGTGCATAGCTGTGCGCAAATGCATTATTGTTTTGCTGGGCCACGATGTTCTTTCTCGAAACTGTTCAATCTTATCGAAGCGATGTAGTCAACCATGTTGGCGCGTGCGTGTTGTGTTGTAACACGATCTTTGTCGTCATACGCTGCGGATCTGGTACCTGGATGTCCACCACCACCACCCCACCAGTATGCGACCAACAACGGCAGACCTTTCCATCAATCAAAACTGGGTGGGTGGTGGAGGGGCGGTGGTGGAAGTCTCTCTTCATGGGAGCGCGCTCGACCCGTGATGATTAGATTGCAACAATGACTTTGCGTGGTACTTTGCGTGCTTAGATATGCGACGATTCTATTGAAAGCCGGCCCATGACATTCTTTCCGTGTTGGCGCGTGCGTTCTGTGTTGCAACACATGCACGATCTTTGTCGTCATAAGGCTCGGATCTGGTACCTGGATGTCAACCTGCACCTACCTCCCACCCCACCAGCACAAGGCCCAACACAGCAAACTTTCCAACCAAACCCTTACCACTTGCAAGTTCCCGCTCATAAGTCTCTTCACTAATCGGCGAGACTTTTCCACATGTCGAAAGGATTCTCCATTCTCGGCCCGCTGTTATGAGGTCGTTGTGATGTCATCAGGGTCCACCACTCTTTCATCATCATCGATGCAGTTATGAAGGAAGCTAGCAGTTGTGATACAAAAGGTTTATAATGCCCCTCCTGTAGTTACCCCTCCATTACATATACACACACTTTCGACTTCTTTGATACCCAAATTCCACGTTTTCACCAATATACACTCTTCAAAACAACAAGCTACGCATACGATACATATTTGAGAAGATGTCTGCCGAATACAAGAACACCGACGTCAACGAGATCGCCAAGAAGGCTGAGCAGGACCTCAACAGCCAGAGCGCTGTTCATGGACACAATGCTGGGTTGAGCAGTACGTTTATCCTCTCCCTTTCCCATCCCACCACCCCCAACCTCCTTCCTCCTCCCTCCCCCATCCATCCATCCATCCATCCATCCATCCCAAACCCCTACTAACCCCCTCTCCAGCAACGGAATCCGGCGTCGACACCGCCAACGTCGAAGGCAAATTCCCCGGCGCCCAAGTAAAATACGGCTCCGCCGCCTCTGGCGCGGGCAACAACCGCGAGATCCCGCTCGACGAGGGTGGCAGCATCAAGGCCAACGGTCAGCCTACCAAGGCGGGTGACTTTGCGCATGGTGGTGTGGGTGCGCCTGAGGAGAGGGATCAGACGTATGTTCACACGCATGGTGGGGATGATGAGATTAGGGGGAATGTTAGGAACTAGGATGGTGATGGGGGAGAGGGAGGCAAGAGCCTCCTGTTTATGAGATGAAATGAATGAAATAAGATCAAAATTTGCTGGTGTGTACGGATATGTGGTGTTGTGGTGTTGTAAGGCTTGGGCCTTTGTACTTTTCCTCTCGCTCTTTTTTTATGTTTGCGCTCTGGACGATGGTTTACTTGCTCCGCTCTGTCGCATGCTTTCTTCACGTTGGGCTCCCTTTGCTCTCTTCTCGATCTATCTATGTCTTCTTTGACAGCTGCTCCTTCGTTCACTGAAGTCTTACAGTATTCACCTCTCACCATTTATGGCACATGTCACGCACAATCATGCACATGGCAGTCACGACGAGTGCGAGAAGCATGATAACTAACTCTAACATCATGTAATAACTACACTGGGCGCGTCACGATGGGAAACTGTCTGCCGTGCATGCCTACAAGAAGCCGTTGTGCCTCCCTCCATCTTTCTTGCTCACGTAGGTAGCGCTTCGACATGCTCAATGCAGGACCGATGCACTAATAACAGTAGACTGTAACCTCAATCTCGATGCGACCCTGGCTTGGTGTAAACCATGTCACCGCAACAAACTTCAAGCCCATACTTTCCGCTGTGTATCTTGACAGTACAAAAACGCAGTTGGAAAGTATCAGATGGAACTTCCGCCTTGATCAGCGTACTGGTCTTGACATGCTACTAATCGCGCAGGTCGTAGGTCGAACAAGCTCTCGGATTTCGAGAATAGGCTTATCCATCGGTATTCCCTGTTGCCTTTGCGCGGATCTGCATCGTCATGCCCATGACCGTGATACCTATCCATCAGGGCGCAGTACTGTCGGCGGAATGCCTTTTGCGTCGCTTTGCGCAAGAATCGTACGATGAGGACGGCGAGGGACTCCAGACTCGGAAGGCAAGATGCAGTGTTGCGCGCCGGATTCTCGTTGGCTGTCGTCATCGAGGTTGTTGTGCTACAGCATGCGTGTCGATCGGAGATGTTTACAAGGAGTAGACGTCGCTATGATGTAGGCTATAATGTCTCGTATGCAGTCTCAAATATCGAGCAGAGAAGGACCATGAGAGGTTGGAAGTTTCCCAAGCCAAATTGCAAGACTATCTAGGTAGGTACGCTCGGCGCACCTGATGGAAGGGTAAGAGCGCTGGAGATGTCGTACTTGATCTCTCGGGCACATCACTTCACATGCTCTTCGAAGCATGCATAACCGCCGACATAGCAAAGAGCGGTGTAGACAACCCTGGCGTCTACATTTTCGTTTCAATATACAGAGGCATGATGTTGCTGCTGTACTACATGCGCTAGCCGATGTACCCACGATCAGCTCCGCGGCAGCAGCATCAGTGATCAAGAATACACTCGAGGTCAGCAGTATAAGAACACGTCCTCGCACGCAGATAATGGAAGCATCGCATTCATCATACGAGACAACTCCTGCATTACCACTTTTTACAAGACTTTCTATTTCAAGCTTCCATCACCTTACTTCCTACTATGTCTGGCAACAACAACAACAACAACAACAACTCCGGCAAGACCGGTGGCGGTGCCAAGAACACCCCCATGACCAAGGAGGACGCTGGTAGAGTCCAATCGACTCAAGTAAGCCTTCCCACCACGTCTCGTCGAACCACTCTTCTTCCGATGCTGACATATCCTTCTTCGCCTAGGCCAAGAGCGGGGCCGACATGTCCTCCGGCGGCTTTGCCGCTCGCGCCCAGGGTGCTGGCGACAAGAACGCCAACGCTGGCGGTCAGCAGAGCGGCGAGACCAAGAAGTGAGGGTCTGGTTGGGGTACATGCTAGGAGGAAGGGGCTTGGGATGTGATGGAGAGAACTTTCGTTAAGTGAGGGCTTATGGGATGCATTCAGGCCGTCTATATGTCTGGGTTCATGGCGAGTAGATAGTATAAAATGTGAATGCATGCATACAAGACTGGAAAATCCGTTGATTACTTTGCAGACTACAACAACAATGGAAGGTTAGTTGGTGAGTTGGTGAAGGGCCCTGACGTCTATATTGATGTTAGATCTTTGTGGAAGTATGTAGTCTATTGTGATGTATGCTGCAAAACATTTCAGGACAGTATCTTCTATCAAGTGGGGTGATCATGTAGTCATCATAGTACACTCATCCGTAGCCATCCACCTACTCTCTACCTAACGTAACCTTTTCCATCCATCCTGCGAGAAAGTCCTCCTCAACACTCTGCACAATGCTCAATGCCTTCTCTGGCGCAATCCACGACTTCCGGCCTTCATCCGGTAGCACCTGCTCCACAACGCCCCACTCAATATCCACCAGAAGATCACTAGCGGGGCTCTGGTCTAGTCGAACGGACGAAATATCGACAGAGGAGCTCATAGGCGCCTCTTGTTCAGACGGTGTGTTCAATGCCTTGCGTGCCTGCTCTTTCTTCATATGCGCAAACGCCCAGTGTAGTACGAGCATGGGACCTTCCCTCTCGAAGATGTCGCGCGGAACCTGATTCTCTTTCACCGCTACCAGGAAGTCTTCTGGTCGTACGGTCCTCAACTCGGAGACCATCCGTTGCAGTTTCCAGACTGCCGCCATCATGTCGCGCCTAGCCCTGTCCGGAAAGTAACACAAGTCAAAGCCGCTGTTCATCCAGACGTGGATGAGAGCTTCTTGGTCAGACTGGTCATCCTCGCCACACGTTTTGGAGAGCCAGGCTTTCATATATGCCTTGATGAAGGCGTTCGCGGCGGGATCGTAGAGGTCGCTGGTGTTCTGACCGAGCGACTCGGCTATCGTGATGAATGCCATAACGATGACATTGTAACGAACGACATCGATGCGATTGGATAGAGTATGGAACTTGGAAACTCCGTAGTGCCAGATGGCGCGGTTGACGTCGAAAGGCTTGGCCGAGTGAGGGCGGTAGTTGCAACGAGCAATATCGTTGTAGTTGCGGAAGAAGAAATCGAGTTGAAGGTCACTGGGGATGTGTGCGATGTACAACGCCGCCTCGTTGGCATTGTAAATGTCATTAATAGTGAGCGGTCGGGTGAGTACCGAGGGATGTATCTTGGAGAGTTTCTGTGCGAGGTTCGAGCGCGCCTTTGCGTCAAGGGCGGACAGGTCGTTGGGGCCAGAGAGGCTCAAGCTCGCCATAGTCGCTTCCATTGGTAGTCGTAGCGAGTAGTTCGCTTGTAGTTAGGAGATGAGAGTATTGAGAAGAGAGATATGAAGTGCTGGACTGACGAGCGTGATCGCGAGTTGACCGTATGTTGAACTGAAAACGCCGACAAGAAAAGTGGGGCCAAGGTGAAAGAGCAAACGGCTTCTTACGACAAGCGCACACTCGCCCCTAGAAAGGGAAAAGATAGCTTGACGAGGTCCTCTTTCATTTCCGTGTGTGATAAGGCTGCAAGTCATTTGCTGTACGAAGAGCAGACATCACGTAAATTTCTTTGACAGGGTAGATGGGAAGGGTTACTTTGACCAGGTGTTAAATTCACATCATATGCTCTCTCTACTTCCCACCACGACCTCAGCCCGCCCCTCTCATCTTCTACCATCCACAACCTAAATGTACTGAACAGTAACCTGCGACCCGCTGTTAATAGTAACATCAGTGTAAACAGTGCTACCCTGCTTAAGATCAATAATAGTAGCACCGCTCAACCCATCCGTTCCACCAGTGCTCAAACTAGCACTCGCCTGCGTAAAGACAACAGTACCAAAGTTGCTCAGCGCAACCAAGCTACCTCCGGACTCGAAGTCCTCTACAATCCACTCTGCGTTCTGACGGCACAGAACAGAACCACTGGGTGCGCTAAGTGTCTGGCTGACCTTCTTTCCGGTGCTCACGTTGGTGAGCGAGACTGTGCCCTTGGTGGTGGAGGTAGCGACAATGTCGACTTGGATGACGTTGCCGGCCTTGACGGCGAAGTTGCTGAAGTCGTAGGCGTAGTCGGGGTACCACTCGTACCAGGCGTCGTAGGAAACGGCGCCGGAGCTGCTGACGGTGAAGTCAATACCTGCTTGGAGCAGACCGCTGCCGCAGGTATCGCCGTCGATGCCGACCCAGGCTGAGGAAGACTCGGTTCCGCCAGAGCCAACGTGCTTGGGTGTAGGTACGGTGAAACGTCCGGTGGCTGACTTGAAGTAGCCAGAGGAGGGTGTCTCGAGGACGGCGCCGGACCAGTTGGAGGAGTAGTCGACGTGGGCGGTGGTGTTGTCGACGTCCGCGACGAACTTGGCGTTCTCTTTCGCGGCTGTGCCGACTAGAATCATGGGCTGGGTCCTGTGACGGCGACTGCCATCAGCACGGGATTGAACGCGCTCAGCGAGGGAGGAAGGACGGGCCAGAACGGAGCCAGTGATGGCGGCGATGATAGCGATGGAAAGCTTCATATTGGATGATGGGACGAGCTTGAAGAACTGAGAATGGAGTCGAAGCGAGGGAAGAGATGGAGAGTAGAACGATAGACTGCTGAAGCGATTGCTGCGTTGATGAGTGCAGTGTTACCAGCGGTGCTCGACACTGTTTATATACTTCCCGGCTCGAGCTCGTACTTCCTGTCGTATACCTCTAGGCACATCGGTATACGATATCGCGATGGCCCAGATCCAACTCTTGATGATACCTTCCTAATACCCACTGGTCAGGCGCATAGCCATCCAGCTAGATTCGCCCTCCATGCTGAACTGGAAAGCGGCCTACAAGATCCATCAGGTCGAACGCCGAGATACGAATTACTGATTGGAAGCCCAGGTCGTTTGGTGAAGGTCTCTTCACCAAAAGATCGGCGAATTACCGGACTGGACAGGGGTATGAGTGGACAGTCCCGCTCGTGTGTTGACTCGGTAGGTATCAGAAGACCCTGATAAGTGATTTTCCTGGTGTACGGGACGAAGTCCGCCTATCACATCACTGTCACTTCGACCACATGTGCGTGAAAGTGTCCGACTTCGTGGTTGTCGTCAGGTTCTCCTGCCTTTTTGGGATAACGCCCGAACGCTCTCTTGCAGATTCGACAGCGAAAGCGAAAGAGGTGGTGGGAGATGCGGTGCTCGACCGTATCGCGACATCTTTGGAGATGTCGCGTGCTCTTCGCAACGTAGTAGGTCTGATTTCCCTGCGTTCCTTATGATCTCCGTCACCTTTACTGTGCGATGGCATTTCTCGCTGTACCTCGGCTCTCGAGAACATCGACATTCTCAAATGCTAATGTGCAAAGGGCCTATGCAACGACGGAAAGCTCCCATAGCGTAAATATGCAGGATAGATTAACTGCAGCAGAAGCTTGTCGTTGCTTATCAGTTGGCGTGTGACTTGGCAAGGATTGGTGTGGTGGTGCTAGTACGGGATAGGAAGTTCGTGATAGGTGATGCCCGGCGTGCACACCTGAAGAGTAGTAAGTCATCCATCTGCCAAGTTAGCTTGCGAAAGCTTGTTCGCGGTGAAATGCTTGAGTTGAGAAGGTGTGTTGAGTGGTGTTGAAGGAGTGTTCGAGATAGACAGGAGGAAGGCCCGATCGGAAAGACCCGTGGACAGTGCGCCATTGGGTTCGGCTGAGCCTCGGCATTCAGAGCCAGTTGCATGAACAACCGGACTGCGACATCGTTGCAACGCCATCAACAACATGGTTGTTGAGATGATTATGGGGACGAATTCCCAGAATGCAGCGGAAGATGACAAGAGTCTGAGTCGCATTACTGCATACATCGCTGTTGTACGCCAACAATGGAAACGTATAGAAAGCAATGTATACTTCAACTTAGGATATGACATGTACTTTCTGGACTCTGAGGTTCTTGTCGGTGTCTAAGGGAAACTTGACTCAGCTGTTTCGCATCAGAATGCCATGGCTGCGAGCGTGCGGCGTAGCAATTGCGGCGTCAGCACCCTCAGGAACGCTGCCTGATCCTCAGGTGCACTTTGCTAAATACCTACCTAGGTACCAACACATCCAGACTCTCTTTAGACACAAGCCTCCGCCATTTGAATATGTCGACCTCGCCAGGAACACGCGTCCGAATGACTTCCAGTTCGAGGACTGCATGTACGGTTTATTCATACCCATCACACGGTGGCATCATTATGAAGCGCTTTACAAACCCTGAGCTGGAGTGCCTTGGCCTCTCGCGCAAGATGTCAAACCTAGTACCGTTCTCCGACCAAGAGCAAGAAGACGCGTTCGCACTACGTATGCTCCATCTAGGCGCGCGTTGGTGGCCATCCCTCAAGTTCTACGAACGCCACACAAGAGACGAACCATATCCTTACGGCCACCACTTCCCATCCGACCTGCATGTTGCCTACACGCCTACTGGTTCAGGCATCTGGGTTCTAGCAGTATGGGCCGAAAACTCACAAACATGGTTGGAAGAATACGATCCGCCCCGAAAGCCCGAAGACTGGGTGGACTTGGCGTATTGCAGAACCATGGAGGAGCGATGTAAGATGTTGGAAGAGTTTGGCGCGACTCTCTATGAGGATATTGAGCAGTGTGATAAGCTGCCGTGGAGTTTGGATGAGGGTGTTAGGGAAGGCAAGAGATACGAGAAGTTGCTGCGGAAGATGGAGGATGATGAATATTTCGAGGATTGGATGATGAGTCTGTGATTGACTGATGTTAGTGAAGGCAAGAGTAGATTGTTTGCTTTAAAAGACGGAGGGAGAAACATCGACTTCTTATAGCATCACTCAGGGACATGAAGAGATAAACGGCTTGTTCGATATGATATGAAATGCACTCACATTGTTCTGTTTACCCGCAACGTCTGCCATAGCTACGACAAAAGTATATCGAGTTAATACATGTCGCTGCTAATTTAGCATAGCCATGACGTGAGCGGACCCTCCCTACGCGCTTAACATTCCGCTCTGATCTCCACTGATCTCCACACTGCTTGTTCTGCCCTCAAGCTTAACCCTGCTCCGCCGCCTTGCGCATACGCTTCTCATGCTTCTTGTGCCTCTTCTTTGTCCTCTTCGCGTACTTCTCCAAAGTCGCAATACGGTTCTTCGCCCAGTTGGGACCGGCGTCGGGAGGCGGGGCTGTAGAAAGGCATTGCAGTTAGCCAAAGCATCGTATAGAGTAAGCAAAACGCAGCAAGAGGACTCCTTACTTCCAAGGTCTCCTCTAAGCAGACGCTCCTTCTCGTCCTCTCGACGCTCATGCTTCCGCTCGAAACGTTGGTGGCGGTGTCCGGACGATTCTGTGCGACAGCTCTGGGTGCGCTTCGGGTTTCGTGGTTTGGGGTCGTGCGGGTTCTGCGAGGGCATCTTGGTGGGGTGCGAGTATTTTCCCTTGTGGCTGGTTAGGCATGCGGCATGCTATTAAACTTGTCTCTCTGATCTATACCTTGCCCGGGTACCAGTACGGATCGTTCTCTTTGGTGTAGTTCTTGGTCAAGTCGCGTCTGATGCTCCTCGCGGTGTCTTTCCGGTCGGCGTGCTCGTCGTCATCAGTCAAAGGGCTGCATTCACGTTCTCTGCTGTCGTCGCGACCGGTTATCGGTTCCTCATCCCGGTCACCCCACGGACTGCGTGGACGACGCTCATACTCATAGCTGGGTTCACGTTTGAAGCCATCTCTTGAGCGATCGCGTTGTCGATCATCGAGTGCGCGCCTCGAATCGCGTCTATCATCACCATCCAGACGGTTACGTGAACGGTCTTCGCGATCACGGCTGCGCTCGCGCCTGCGATCATCGACCCGGCGGTCGCGTGATTGATCATGTCGGTCACGACTAAGCTCGCGTCTGCGTTCATCTCCCCAGCGGTTGCTTGGACGGTCGTCTCGCTCCCGGCTTGGTTCGCGTTTGATGTCGTCACCCCAGCGGTTGCGAGGACGTTCCTGACGCTCACGGCTGGGCTCACGTCTACTATGATAGCTATCATAACCGTGGTAGGTCTGTGGGTAGCTGTCGACGCGTCCCTGCGGTTCGTAGCTCGGCTCGCGTTTGACGCGATTGTCGATGGGATCCTGGAAGTCCGACATCGCGCCGTGGGATGGAGTAGTCAATGCGAAGACAGTGTAATGAGAACGAGAAAGGAAAGGCGAGAGGACGGATTGAAGTGACGGAAGAGAGACCGGACGCGGTTTGAGGAAGCGACAAAAGAAATGACTCGTCGTTGCGAACTTGAAGCCCCGCTGGGACAATCAAGGAGGAACGACGGCAGTATACGGAAGGGAGCAGCGGGCCCGCAATAGCCTGACGACGCGTCCCGTGTTGGGCGCGTATGCTGACACTTTATCAAGACTTACGCGCAATCCAATGTAAACACGGTCGAGATACCTCAGTCTTCACGATGAGAGCGCCACATGATGACTTATCCCAGGCGCAGGAGAAGAAAGTAGCTGTACCTATGACGTCACCACGCTAGATCGCATCCATCTCGACAGGCACGGCCGAACACGAAGGTGACAAAGCTGCAAAACACTGTTGCCTCGGATTACCACATACTTCCACAACAGCCGCCACAGTATCGTATATACACACATCGGACACAATGCATCTCCTAACCACAAGCTGCACTATCGCAGCAACTATACACTTACAATCGAAATTCTCACCGCGGACCAAAGATTGAGAAACAGCCAGTAGAAGTGCCACAACCCATCTCTACAAAGTCGCGATATGGACAGCGTATACACAGTCCGCGCCTCACCCGGCGAAGGACTAGGCTGTTTCGCTTCCACGACCATCCTGCCGGGTACGCTCATCCTTAGCGAAACACCCTTATTCAGCGTCGCAGAACCGCGCAGCAACAGCGCCGTAGTCTTAGCTTTTGCTTCATTGGCCGACTCGCAAAAAACCCAATATCTATCCCTGTACGCGCAGAAAACCTACAAATTGAAAGAGAATGGAGAAGAAGAAGAAGAAGAGGCAAGAGTAATCGACATCTTCAACTCCAACGCCTGGCAAACCGGGAGCCACACATCCATCTGCCCCCTCGCCGCGCGCTTCAACCACAGCTGCATCCCCAACGCATCCTTCGCATTCAACCCGCTCACTGGAAAAATCACAATCCACGCCATCGTACCCATTGTATCAAATTCCCAAATACGATTAAGCTACGAGCGACCCTACCAAACCACCCTCTCGCGGCGCGCAAAACTATCTTCCTACGGCTTCACATGCAGCTGTCCGGCGTGCAGCGACCCCACCCCCGCCAGCGATACCCGGCGCGCGCGAATGGTGGTGCTGGACGCGCGGATCCGGACGGGGCGGCGCCAGCTGTGGAGACGGCCTGTGCCGAAAGCCGCGTTGGAGTTGTGCAGGTTGCTTAAAGAGGAGGGGTTGGTGGGGGAGGCGTTGGGGCTTGCGTGGCATGATGCGGCGGTGGGGTGGAGGAGGCATGGGAGGGTGGATATGGCGGTGCTGTGTGCGGTTAAGGAGTTGGAAATCGCGGTAATATGTTTTGGCAGGGAGAGCTCGGCGGTGGATGTTTCGACGGGGTTCTTGTTGGGGTTGAAGGGGGAGATGGGGATGAAGGCGAAGACGGGTGTTGCTGTGGAGGCTGAGGAGGTTGCGGCTTGCTAGAGAGGGGAGGGGGGCTTGGTATGTGGTCGAGATGTCCTGGGTTGGTGTTGAAGTATGCTCTGGGCATGCCGATTCTTCCATGCCACATCTCACTTCCTTGATTTGTGGCGCAGTGACGATATGTACAATGTGCCACAACCCCAAACAAGCTCTCTTGTCCAACAAACAATGTGCTACCACTTGACATATTCCCTCTTAATGTATTTCCTCCTCGCAAACACATCGTTTCTACCCTCCTACCCTGCACCACTACCTACCCTCTAAACCAGCACAACAACAAGCCAACTCTAGCATGACCAAAACCCCCCTCCCTTCCCACACTTCCCGCAAGACTCCAAAAACCGATCAAATCGTGCGCCTTAAAAGCATCATCCAGCCCCTCACAAAATACCCGTCTGCCCCCCAATCAAATCCATCCCAGTATACCGAACGCCGCAAAAGTTCCACCATGCCGCACATGACCGAATGGCTATGTCCACACTGCTCACATATCAACCGTGGGGAAGGTGGTAGTGGGGAGAAATGCGGGGGGTGTGGGAAGTGATGATGATGATGATGATGATGATGATGGTGGATGAGACGGAGGGAACCGTCTGCGGTTGGGGATATGAGTACCAAAGGAGAAAGATGAGGAGAGAGACGAGAAAGACGACAAGTGGTTAGAGTGTGGGTATCAGGATAGGGAGATTCGAGTAGACGAAGAGGAGGGATGAAAGGAATAAATTGTCGAGTTATTGTTCCGCGAGACACAAGAACCGCGCAAGTAGAATGCCACATTGTCTTGCCAGAACCCGTATATGCTGATATACCGACTTTCCCAAACTCCATCGCTATGCATAAAGATGTATCATCAGACGTATTTCTGAATCCATCGAGTCGTTGTTGCGAGCAACGGTGCATGGGACTTTTTTGGTACCCGAATTGTAAACTCGCAACAACGACTGAATCATCATACGTGACCTTCTCTTTTCCTCTCTCTCACAAATATCTCATCTTCGCCTACCTGACCCGAAGCCGCTTTCCAGCAGGTTCAACACCGCCCTCTTCCCTCGCCGAACTATGCGCTTCAGAACCAGTCCAAACCTGACTCTTCACAGTCGAGGGAACAGTCGAACCGTTTCCTGCTTCACTAACCTCATTCTTTCCCTCCATCTTCGCTCCAGCCGTCGGACCAACCTTCCTCGGCCCCTCAATAGAAAAGGAAAAAACCTCTCTCTCGGGCCTCCTCGACTTCCCTGTCGCCGGCTTCCTAACAGCATTGACATCCTCCTCCTTGAACAGCTGCCCCGTCCTCTTCGTCGCTTCCTTACCCGCCTCCGTCGCTTCTTCCACGATCTCCTCACTGTAGTGCCACATCAGAGCAATCTCACCCCTTACAAGCGCAGTCGCCCAGAGACTGAGCAGCACGCCTGGAACGAGCCAGAGAAGAGCAGGTTGCGCGTGGTTCATGAGATGTAGCGCGGCGAACGTGGCGACCAGACCGCCTACATAGCCCACTAGCGAGGCATTGAAGTACGTTTTCGGAAAAGTGAACGGCGCTTCCTCTTTCTCGTTTTCTTGGGGTGCGGCAGACTTCCACAGCGGGCGTCCCATGAGTGAATGCGTCCAGAAATGGTCGCTCCAGCGGCCTGCCAGGGGTGTAAACTCCGCCTTTACAACCGTGTCCTCGGCTCCTTCTGTTGTTGCTGAGACGCGTTTCTGGCGGCGGAGGTAGAAGAGGTAGAGATCGAAGCGCAGTGCAAGGCCTATCATGAGGCCTGGGATGATGATATCGCCTAGACCGAGCATGGCAGCGGCGTTCTTGCCCGAGGGCGTGGTGGCGGTGCCGGGTTTGGGGAACATGAGTTTGATGGGGACGTCGAGGGAGGATGCTACTGTTACCATGAGAGGACTGGAAGAAGTGGTGTTAGTAGTGTTTCTGTGCAGATGGGTGAAGGAGGAGAAGTACGTACGTGAAAAACACCATGTAGATGTCGTAGAAGAACAACCCCACGAGTATCGCACTTCCAGTCGCAAACGTCGTCGGACTGATGACTTGAATACTGCCATATGCGAAACTGAAACCGAGTAGGTTCGTGAGATACCACGTCTTGTCAACCAGGTTGAAGTAGACGAGCGTAGCCAGCGCTACCACAGCACCGACAAGCGTGTGCGCGCCTACTCTAGCTTTGCCCGCCAGCGCGCGCTCAAGATACAGCTTCAGCGTCCACTTATTGGAGGGCATCGCGCGGTCCGCCCAGAGCCATTCTTTCGCTCCATCGGAAAGTGGTATGCGCGCGAGGAAGCCGGGGAGCGGGCTTGTAATGGGCCCGCTGGCCTTGGTGTTGCCTGCGACAGGCACCGCCCTCCCTGCCTTGCCGTCGACATGGTACAGCGCGCCCCCGAGCACATGTCGCCTTGGAAAGATAATCGAATGCCCAATATCCAGCACATCACTAACCAACTTCGTGACCGCGAAAAACCCAAAGACAGCAAAATACGCATTAAGCGCTTTACTCAATATACTCGGATCCTTGAGCCACTTCAACAAGAAATACAGCGTCGCCAGAGAAATCCCCGCGAAAAGCGGAAACAAGATTATATGTCTTGGTGATAATCCTTCCATCTCGTTCTCCGGCTCCTCCTCCTCCTCGTCTTCAGAATCGCTGTCTTCATCTTCGGTGGCGGCGGGCTGGCGGTCTTTCCGGTTTTTCTTGGGGGGTTTGGCGGCGGTCGAGGGGCGGGTGAGCGAGGCGTGGGCGGCGGCGTAGATGGGGAAGAGGGAGGCGAGGATCATGTGGGCGTAGACGGGGAGGAGCGGTTGGACCTTTGTGAAGGCGTAGGCGACAGTGCCGAGGGCGCTGGCGACGAGGCTGGGCTCGGTGTCTGCCATGGTGCGCAGAGGGGTGGGTGTGTGTTACGCGCAGGTGGACGTGGCTGGTGGGGATTTATAGAGTGATGTGAGAGAGTGAGAGTGGGTGGTGGTGGGGAGGCTGCTGGTGAGCGCACCCAAGGTTACAGAGCTCGATGCAGACAACGTGGCCTATATGCAACCAACCACAAAGACTCCAAACGTCAATGAGTATGGAAGCAACCAGAGTACATTTCACATTCTTTCACCAAGCTTCTTCCGTCGCGCATGCAGACAACGACGCGACAATACGGCACAGTCGCGTCCTTTTCGCAAACAAATTCGGCATGCAAACCAATCAAACATGACGTCGCCGCATCGCGTCCAGCCAAACACCCTGATCGGCGTTCGTGCATGGCCAGACCAGCGACGGCCCAGACCCAGAATAGCCCGTCGATAGATCTAGATCTCGGCCTGCACGAGCGGGACCTTGCATGTTCGCCCCTTCCCTTCCTTCACGCTCGAGCGCGAAAGAAGGAAGATCACCTCGTCTTAGATTCTAGAAGTTGTTGCTTTGGAAGCTGCCAGACTTCCACCACTGCGCCTCCGCCTCCACCCATCCTTGCATGTTCTCCCCCCTTCCTTCACCGCTTCAAATCCTACTAAATCAATTTAATTATCCGTGCGACTGCCGTGTCTCATGATTCAGCATGTCTTTTTGGCCCGACCCCAGATGGCTTTTGGCCTAACCCGGGTGCTCGGTATGTCAGCTTAAAGGTGGTTAATATTAGCTTAAAGGTGCGGAGAAAAGCATGTAGCCTGCATATTCAAATACCGAGGTCAATAAGGACTGGAATAGACGCAGTAGTAGCAATAGAGAAAAAGCATATAGTAGATGCGCAAATGTGTGTTTGTATTGCTACCGAGTGTGTGTATTGTTGTGTTGCAAATGTATGCTGTGTGTTCTTCTGTTTCCTCCCCAAGCTAAACTAGGCCGAAACCCACTGCCACCAGTCTGTCATACTTGCATTCTGCTCCTGCCTGCTCACCGACTCTGGAATGCAAACGATCTCTCCAGAACTTCCCCTCCATCCCCTTAGATTAAAGAATGAATGGAATTCGTGTGTCGCGTATACACTCGTGATGTGCTTAAAAGACGCCCCACAAGAAAAAAAAGATGAGTTCGTGTAGAGAAGGAGAAGGAAAAAAGAAGCAAGAGCGCCGAATGTGCTAAATCGAGAGAGAAGCCGAAACACCCCACTTGTGCAAACAAAGGAAAAAAGCTTAGCAGTCTGATGAAATGCTTGTGTGTGAAACGCCCGAGAGACAACCGGATTACAAGAGGGATATTTTGCGTGCAAAAGACAGGGAAGAAGCAAGGTAAAAAAGGAAGAGGCCGTTGGGTGTGGTTAGACCGGCTGAACCACAGCTTTTTGGCAACAACAACAACAACACCCCCGAACGCGCACGCTAGTAAGACAGGGAGATAGGAAAAAAGAGTTGTAGTGATGGACTCAGCAGGGTGTGAGCCTGCTGGAGACGTTCAGGTCGCGGAGCATGTCAAAGGACATGCCGTCGACGTTGACGCGCTGCTGTGACTCAACGTACACGTCGTGCACGTTGGAGAAGGCGTTGCCCTCCCAAGGCGATACAGCAGTAAGCCTCTTGTTGTGTGGGTGTGGTGGTGTGACTGCCGCGATGACAGCCTGCTTCATCTGCGGGGTGATGGCCAAGCGCTTGCAGTCAAAGTACGACGACGACGACACCGAAGACGAGGTATACGAAGGTGCTGACGTCGAGGTGAGCTGGGGTTGCGAGGGGCAAGACGAGGAGGGGTAGTCGGCGACGTCCTCGTCATCATCGTGCTCTTCCTCAGGTGAGGAACGTGGTAGTGCTGACGGGTCAGGAAACTTGAAGGCTTTAGCCGTAGTGGGCTCTGACTCTTCCTCTAGCGGCGTCGACGAAAATAGAAACGACGAATTGTGGTGCGAGGTCTCGTAGTAGCCTAGGATGGACGGCGTGAAGTTGCTGCCCTTGGAGTTGGGGCCTTGTTCACTGGAAAAGGTATACTCCGGGAGGGGAAGCGCCTCGTCATCCGTGTCGTCGTCGGTGGAGCTCCAGGCCGAGAATTGACTCTTCATCGGCGGTCGCACTGGGGGTATTTCGATGGCCTTTGGTCCATCGGTCTGGCGGCGTGCATTTGGGTTTGGCGACGTCGGCACTCGAGGAAACGATAGATCCGGACACGATCGGGGAGAGAGGGATGAGGTGGGGCGATGGTTGGATTGGTACGTCGGTATTGACTTGAGTTGGTTCTTGATGAAAGCGGCAAGGTTAGCGGAATAGTCGCCTAGCGTGGGTGACATATTCCGAGGTTCGCCATCGTTTACATGTGCGACCACGGTCGAAGTGCTGTTATCCGTGGCATCGGATGGCATGCGAGAGTGAGACCATTTTGCGTCAAAGGGAGATTCTTGGTCTTGAGGGGTGGGTAGGGCGGCGAGGCCTTCGAGAAACTTGAGGTGGTCCTGGGGGTTGAAGAGACGGTTGACTTCGTCGTCGACGGATTGGTTGCGTCGAGCTCGGCGTTTCCGGACGGCGGCTCTTCCCTCAGCAAGAATAAGGAGTGCTTCTGGGGTTGAGCAACCCAGAGCCTCAACAATGGGAAACGAGTTACTTCTTTGTCTCTGCATGCTGTGTCGGGGGCTCGCTCTGCGAGGGGATGGCGAGGAGTGGTGGGAGTCCATGGTGTATATTAGTCCGGATAGAGCGGGAGAGGTGCTAGTTCATGGCCGCAGAGCCGCGGAGTGAGTCGATGCTGGGAGCGAGGAGTCCTAAATACACAGTGCAGGTTGAGGGCAGACGTCCAGGGGGTGTTGTGACAGTGCTGGTCCACGGAGCAAAAGGAAAAGAGAGTTGCCGCGTGTAAAACGGATGGCAAGGCTACTTTGAAGCCAGAAAAACGGTCGACGGATCAGGTCAGGATGGCATTAGTGGCCCATCTCGCTTCCCAGGCCCCAGGCAGCCCTAGCCCGACAAGAAAATGCTCTCCTATGGGCCCAAGCCGAAAAGTACGAGTTGGCAGGCAGGCGTACGGGCACATGACGTTTACAGCCCTCGACCAGCGACATGGGTGGGTCTTGCACGGCCTTGGAAAAGCGCACTCGAAGGATGAACTATGCTGCACCCCTGGATGGCGTGCACCCATCTGCCGGATCCCGCTGGCGTTTCGCAGCGCTGCCCAATGGGGGCCGAGAGGGCGTGCGGCCTGTCATGCGCCGTCTGCTACCGTCGTGGCAAAGCACCGGAATCTCCGTTTTGCCATGGAGGGTTCGCGTTGGAGCGCCTGATGGTGAGAAAGCTCGCAGCCTGTCAGCGGTGGTGGAGGGCCTGCGCAGACGTGCCGCGACAGCCTGCGTGAACCATCGTACCCACATCAAACGAGGCCTGTTGCGTGAGGTCGTGGTGATCATGATCGACGCTACCCTTGCTTTTTTCCCTCGCTGTGCTGTTTCTCCAAGGCCTGATCAGCCCTGCCACTGATGCGTTTGGCCCGACGATCTGTCTCTGACTGGCCGCAGCTAAGATAAAAGTGCGATCGATCAGCACTGGCCGCGCAAGCGAAACTCTGCTGTACATGTAAACGGCGGTTCACGTACCCTCGCGTCGTCGTGATGTAGGAATTACACCTCACCTGCGCTGCATACACGGGCGCCCTCGTAATTGTCCGAGGTGGGTGAATGTGCGCCGTGCTAGAGCAGGTACGCCGAAAAAAGAATAACCGGCCCGACTCGAGCAGACGCGACACTGGTCCGAGGCTGAGCAACGCGTTCGCATCACGAAACCCGCGATAGAGTTGGATTTCCAGGGTCCTGAAGAGTCATACCCTCCGTGCCGATGCCATTTGGTCGGATATCCGGTGCCGTGTGGGATTCGATAGGTCCGACTGTGGCTGCAATACCGTAATCACTGGCGGCGTCCCTCCGATAGCCTCAGCTGTCAGACTGAAACTGTCGCACCGACAATTTACTTTGTACTGCACTCTGCGACTCACTGGTAACCTCGTGAACTCTCAATTCACCCCTCATTTGCTTTTCTCGTCGCCTTGTAAGGCTTCGGCTGCGCCCTGGTGCTCATCTTACCCCCGTCCAAGCGTCGCTTCCTGGCCATGTCGGGCTGTTTCCGCATGCAGCTTTGGTCGCCCGGGCATCAACACCGCATCTTTTTTTTCACGATTGACATCATCACCGCGCTCACGAGTTGTGCGCATGCAGCAGCCTGATCAGCACGGTGCGCTGGATTTGCCCGAACAACTCCTCTGACATGCGAAACCACGACGCCCCGGGCCACCGTCCGAGCCTCGCCGCCGTCGCTACCAAAAGGGCTGCCTGCCCAACGGCGGCGCCTTCCCGGATTGCTTCACTTTCTCGCTGGCACCTACTTGCATGTCTGTGTCTTCAATTGTTTCACCACCCTCGACGGCAGTAGCCCCGCAGGAGGTATGCCATTGTGCGACAATCCCATCTTCGATCCCCCCACCACCTCTCACCACCTCACCATCTACTGCGACACCTACCCGCCCATCTAACTTTGCATCCTCACCCCATCTCACGTAATGCGTTCGACCGCATCCTAGGGCACCATCACCACACCCCGCCGGTCCTTTTTCCTAGAGTCGGCTCGATCCGACCAACCCATGCTATTCGGCAATTATATCGCGGGCCTTGTCATTCTCTCGGTGCTACCTCTGCTTTTTATCCTGGCGCGCTTCTACTCAAAGCGCACGCGACTACTGCCATGGACTATTGATGATACGTTTTTGGTGTTGGCCCTGGTATGGCCTGACCCCTTTACAGAAGGCACTCTCTAACCACGCTGGGTAGCTCCTTCTCTACGTGGTGATGGCAATGTTTATTGTTTGCGAGTCGCCCACGTCAGCGATTCATACTGCGTTGCTAATTTTCTGAAGCGATGGCTGCTAGTCTTGTCCGTCAACACATGGTGACAGCTGCCACGGCGGATCTCAAGCGAACGCTGATAGT